ATTTTACTCCAGTGGTACAAATCCCGAAGGCCTAAGGGGCATCTCTTTAAAGTGAGCAGCTAAAGAAGAGGCAGGCAATTTGTACCACATGTTGAAATGGACATTACAGTTTTTGGCTGCTCAGAATCGATTTCCTTAGCAAAAGCTATCCCTCTCCCTGCTCTTAAGACATGCAGAACAGGAAAGGTTATTTTGCATTTCCAGTTTGAGGAGAGAGAAACAGAAGTCCTAGCCAATGACTCTGTCTCATTCCCTGCCATAGTGATGGGTTTGGACATGGACAGATGAGCAAACCAATGAGATGTGATGCTGGGACTTTAGTTAAGAATGGTCAGGAAAGCCAACTTTTTCCTGTGGCTCCTAAGCTATGAAAATGAGAGCCTGGCTTTACAGCTGACAGTCGTCCTCATGATTTGGTGGGATGGGAGGCCTACCTAAGAACAAATCACTTGGAGGGAATAAGTGGAGCTGAGACATGGAGCCTTGAATGTTTCCTTCCCTCCATTAGCAAAGGGTGAAGTTCCTTCTAACTCTTGAGCTTGATAGTAGCTTCTCAGAGCCACACTGGCTTTTCCTTGTATCTACTTTCACAAAGTTCAGCTTCTCCCTCCAGTCGGCTTGTTCGTCACCTGCTGTAACTTGTACCATCAAAGAAAGGAAGTCCTAATGTACTGGTCTCCTTGTACTAACCTGTATCATAGAGATCACTGCCCAACAATGGATTAACAGCTGGTGGACCTGGTGTCAAACTGCTGATGAGGCTCAGTAACATATGCTTAACAAGCTGTCCAGGCAATTATGGTATGTGCTAAACTTTGAGAATCGGTGCCTCAGAAGAAAAGTCAGACTGCATGGTTTTCTTGCCTCCACTGACTTTCCAATTTTATTCCATATTGTTGTATATAATGGGCCCTTTGATTCATCAACTATTTTATTGATTTATGAGAATGCATTATTAAAGAATAGCTCAGTTTTAAGTAACACGAACCTAAGTAACATGGACTGGCACAAAACTGAAATTCCTTGGCTCAACAAGAGTCGGCAGTGGAGATACCCAGAGGGGTAACTGAGTAGTTTCAGGCATGGCCAGCTCTAGGCTCCCTCATCAGAAATCTCTGCCTGGCTCTGAAGCTCTGTGCTTGCTCCCTCTGCAAGTCACGGGTCAGTACGTCCACTGCTCTATCTCCAGATTTATGCCCTGCCAGCCTAGCACTCACTGTTGAAAAGAGCGCTTTTCTTCCTAATAGTTCAGAATCCTCTTCCTGTTTGGATTGAAGCCAGCAGCCACAGAGAAGGTGTCCAGCTTCATTAGCCAGGCCAATGCCAGTGGCCACTCCTGGAGCCAAGGATGTGTTCTCACCTAAGGACGATCCCCAAGGGAAAATCGGGCCTCTATGCCAGAATAAAAATAATGGATGGATAGGTCAAAGAGCAAATATTCATTGTTATGTATGGTCATTTTAGATTTGAAATGTTTGCTTGTATGATGGAATGAATGCTCTCATTTTCTCTACTTTTCCAGTGATACTTCTACCTTAAAAAATCCACAGTATTTTTTATCCCTTATGACAGAGTTTGTCTGATTCCCCTGGCTCCTCAATGAACACTTCCTCCTGTTGTATCTCTTGTTTGCATGGTGTGCCGTGTGTCCATGGAGTGGCATGGCTGTGTATAGGTGTGTACAGGCATCTCCTCCGATCTGAGCAACCAAAGCTAGAGACCCTTCCTATAAATTATGTTATCGCTTATCGGTCCTCACCTACACTGAATGAAGAAATAAAGGTCTGAGAGATTGAGTGAAAGTACAAATGAATAAATGATGAAAGAGGACAAATTAATAAGGAACAGGAGTAGCAGAGTCTGGTACTCTAGGGGGCTTTGTGAGGCATGTTTTCCAGCTGTGATTTCTTATTTTGAGATTTCCTCCATTCGTGGTGTGCTGCCTTATGGGAATGCTTATTGCTTCTCCTCCAACTGAGGATCAATAGCTTCTATTATCAAGACTACACATGGGAGAACCTTGAATCAAATAATTAAATATTCCTAATTAGCCTTTACAACACCGGGACAACGTTATAGAAACATTAAAATATTTGAGCTGGAAGACACCTCACATGTACTGGAATTGGAGTCCAGTACCTGAAATTAATATAGGGGGAAAACCCATGGGCTCAGAAACCCATGTATTCCCTTAATTCCTTTACCTTTTCAAAGCCCTTTTGGCCGGCCGGTCAATACTTGAACACTTACCGCTCCACATAATTAAACCTAGCATGGATTGCAAATATTTATCTTATTTGTTGATTTACCCACTAGGATGTTCTGGCTTCCTTCTACTGTCGAAGAAGGCAGGTTTGCATCTCTTTACAAATTCATTTAATTCTTATCAATCAATAATAATCCCTCTTGTTTGGATGCTCCTTGGTACTGGTTGTAACATGCACCTGATTTGTCATTAATGTTGAGTTAAATACAATTTTAACATGGGATCACTTTGTGTCTTGGTGACAGCTCTCCTTTAATGCAGTGTTTGGGAAATTATCCTTAGCAAGAGTTTACTGCAATCTGTCTATAGCCAGGGCAGAACCATTTGCGTGGAATGCATTAAACAACTATTTGTTAAATATATGAATAACTCTAATCATTAACTGCCTAGGGGTACACATCCCTGCCATGTAGGTGTAGGCCTGGCTCAAGCCACTTGTGAAGCCTGACAGGTTTTCTCCTGGACATACTCTTTTCTTCCTCTTCATAGTATCTTCTCCCATCTCTCACCTAGGTGAAAATTTCCTTTTTGGTCATTGATTCCAACCCACCTCCCATTTAATTTCATGTAAACTTTACCCCAAGATGTCAATGACTACTAAAAGACTAATAAGTTAACCTTCAAAAGGTATTTTATTTTTCATAAAAATGAGACTCCTTATAAGGACTCATTGATTAATTAACTACTCCCCCCGGGCACACACTTACATATGAAATGGTTAAGAAGGCAGCATTAATCCTACCAGAGGTTTCCATAACCCTTAATTCTGTACTGCGAAGCAGCATTATACAATGGACCTATATTTTAGCTTTTATCTTTTACTTTAATCTCAAGATTTCTATGAGGCAAGTATTCTTAGTCTCATTTTACAGATGAGGGAAGTAATTATGGGTCATGAGTTACTTTTTTTCAAGGTGAGACGAATAAGTCCTTGAACCTAGATTTCCTTTAGACCAGAATGGGACAAGACTGAATCATTTAATTTTCTGCCCAGAAATGGACATGCAAGGTTGTTTCATGATTTTGGTGATCTTGACATGTCTTTCAGTTTGATGCTTTAGGACATATAGAATTGAAAAACTGAATTTTCATCAAAGCCACACTTGGATCATATTATTTTTTTTTGGTACCAGGGGTCAAACTCAGGACCTCACACCTGCCAGGCAGGCACTGTGTTGCTGAGCTACATCCCTGGCCCTGGGTCATGTAAGTTTTGATGGTAGAAATTTTAAAATGTGCATATAACAAAATTACTTAAAAATGTAGTTTTGGGTAAATAGGGAGAGGTGGAGGGGTTGAAGGGAGGGCAGGAGAATGGGGGAGAAAATACTAGAAAAGAATGTAGTTGAAATTAAAAAAATCAGACCCCCCAAATTCAAAGACCCAATTCAAAAATGGGCATCTGAAATAAACAGACATTTCTCAGACAAGGAAGTAAAACCAGCAAATAAACATATGAAAAAATGTTCAACATCACTGGTCATTCAAGAGATGCAGATGAAAACAGTGCTGAGATTCTATCTCACCCCAGAAAGAATGGGTGTTATCAAGAAATCAACCAATAACAAATGCTGGTGGGGCTGTGGGGAGAAAGGAACCCTTCTCCACTGCTGGTGGGAGTGCAGACTGGTGAAACCACTGTGGAAATCAGTATGGAGCTATCTCAAAGAACTAGGACTGGAAGTTCCATCTGACCCAGCTATTCGTCTGCTGGGTATCTTCCCCAAAGAATTAAATGAATCATACCACAGTGATATATGGGCACCCATGTGTATAGCAGCACAGTTTGTAATAACTAAAGCTTGGAAACAGCCCAAGTGCCCATCAACTGGAAACTGGATAAGGAAGATGTGGGTTTTTTAAAATAAAATGGAGTACTACTCAGCCATAAAGAATGAGAAACTAGAGACATTTATAGCTAAATGGATGCATATTGAGGCCATCCTCTTAAGCGAAATAAACAGGACACATGTAAATACCGAATAGTTTCTCTGGTGTGAGAAACTGAAAGTATAAATAAGGATTAAAATGATTAAAATGAATAATTGATCATTTGAAATAGGTAGAAAATGTCCAAAGGGGTAGGGGAAGTGGAAGGGGAAGGGGAAAGGAAAGAAGGGAGAGGAAAAATTATGAGAAAAGGAAAAAATGGAAACAAAATCTTTGTAAATAGGGAAAGGTGGAGGGGGTGAAGGGAGGACAGGGAATGGGGAAAAAATACAAACCAAGATACATCATGTACAGGTACAAGATCCCAATGATAAATATAAATGTATTGTATACCTAAAATGTACCATTAGAAGCATTTAAGGGAGAAAAAAAAAAAGGGTGAATCTCAAAGACATGTCTTAAAGCAATTCAGGAATATTTTCTCTCATTTTTAGCTTGCTAATTATAAATATTATATGTATTCTCACACATTCTACCATTATCTGAACCTAAAATCCTATTATGAGCTATATCTTGTCTCCACCATTGTATGTAAAACCTGTTCATGTGATTCTTCAGAAATAAGCATTCAGTAGAACTTTTGACTTCAAGCAGATAGAATGTAAGTAATTTTCACTATTCTTTCCTTTAAGTACAAATAAAATTCCCGGGCATTTGTTATAAAATAAGCATAAGGGTCTGAAATGTAGAGGGGTAATAGACCAACTACTCAGTCCTCCCAACAAAATGGTGCTAGAGCAATTGGCCATCCATATAGAAAAAATGAAAATTACATTGTCTTACTTTCATTTTTTATATTACTATACACAATATATAATAATTACATTCATCTTTGGGTATTGATGCATAGCCATACCATGCACACCTTTAACATTAACTCAAAACAGATCATGAACTTAATTGTAATACGTAAAACTATAAAGCTTTAGAAGAAAAAAAGACAGAGAGAATTTAATTCCAGGCCTAGGTAAGCAAGTTATCAGACTCAGCTTTAAAAATACAGTCTGAAAAAGGAAAATTGTTCATTGCAACTTGCACTGTAGAGACTGTTTTAAAAGGATGGAAGGAAATTGAAGACCAGAAAAAAACATTGTACACCTCATAACCAATGACTAGTTTCTAGAATGTATAAGAAGTCTTCAAACTCGATAGTATAAAGGCAAAAAATATAATTAGAAAATAGGGAAAAGATGTGATGAGACTTTTCTCTCTTGAGTTTGAAGATGGTAAATAAGCCCTTGAAAAGGTATTTGACATCACTCAGCACTAGGGAGATGAAAATTAAAACCACATTAAGACATCGTGATACACTTATCAGAATTGCTAAGTGAAAAATGCAGCCAGCCCAACATGCTGCTGAAGAAAGGGAGAAACTGGATCCCTCATACATCGCTCGTGAGAGTGTGAAATGGTTCAGTGACTCTGGAAAATACAGAGTTAAAAAATATGCATATACATGAAAAGTTCCCATGACCACTCCTGGGGTTTATCACAAAGAAAAAAAACTTAGGGTCCCACAGAAAACCGGTGCACGGATGTTATGGCAGCAGCTTTATTCACAATTCCCCGAGCAGGAAGCTGATCGCCAGGGCTACGTGGCTCCACAAATGGGCGCAGCGGTTTAGCAAATGAGCCTAACAGAGCCAAAGTGTAACGGCCGCATATCAGACCCCAAACATTTCTTTGTGAAATGTATTAAGACTGGTTTCACATTATTCTTAAAGTGTTTAAGAAACCACAGAGGACAATTTCAGTGGCTTTTGCTCCATGTAGTTCGAGTTACATGTAGTCAACCAGAGTCCAAAAAAAAATGACATGGACAAGTCCAGAAATAATTAACAAAATTTAAATAAGTTTCATTACAATATGCTGTTCTAATTGTTATTACTGTTAAACTCTTACTGTGCCGAATTTATGAATTGAACTTACCATAGGTATGTATGTGTAGGTGAAGAACCCCGCACGCATGGTTCAGTAACATCTGCCCCTTGCAGCACCTGCTAGTCTTAGAATGTGTCTTAGAGTCTTCGAATGTGTCTCCTATGGTAAAAGGGTACTGTAGCATAGCCATACTGTGGAATAGTACTCACTTGTGAAAAGGAACTAATTATTGGTACCTAGAGCAAAGTGTATGAGTTTATAAAAAACCTGACCCTAAAATGTCGCATACTAGATGATTCAATTTGTATAGGATTCTTGGAATGACAAAATTTAGAAATGCACAACAGATGAGTGACTGTCAAAGTTTGAGAAGGACCTAGGGACAGGGGAGAAGTAACCTGTGTCTATGGAATTGTACTGGAGGTATCATTGTTGATGAGAAAGTTTTGTATTTTGATTGTGACAGTGTCAGTGAGCTGGTCAAGATATTATGCTAAAGTTTTGAAAGATAATCTCTGGGCACACTGGCTAATGAGTATAGCAGAACTTCACATAGTATTTCTTAAAATGAGTATGGATCAGCAATGGTTTGTTTTCACAACGCTGGCATTACTCGGGGACTTGTAGGAAATGAAGAACAGACCCTGCCCCAGACCTACTGAGTCTTAATAAACCGCCAAGTTCATTTATAGGTAATTTAGTGTTTAGAAGCACTGGTTTGAGTTGTAGCTAGTAAATGCAGGAGGGGGTGTACAGATGCAGACAGTTTGGCTGTTTAGAACAAGTGTGCTGACCACTGTGTGAACAAGCATCGCTCAGCGTGAGGGTGGGAATGGTCACCAGCTCAGAGGAACCGATGCTTCTGTTCGGCTCTCAGCCACTGGTCCACTGAGTCAGCACGCTGAGCGAAGGGTCTGTACATTAATCGGCTCTGAGGGGACATGCAGTGGAGAGGGCCTAGGAAGCATTTCAGATGAGAAATCCACAGAAGATTATCATGTAAGGTCATCACATGGAGGACGGAGAGACCGGAAGTCAGCACTGGGAGCAGGTGGGTGTGCAGTGTCACCCACCAAGTGCTCCCCGCTTAGTGGTGACCTAGTGTCACCAGCTGCCCAGCGGGTGGGTCATTCCTGATGACTGGATCACTGAATTGAGGCTGAGTGACCTTTGCTAGAAAGAATGAAAATTCAGTGAATACACAGTCTTTCTTATTCTACTTACGCGAAGGTAAATTAGATGTGTCCTTTTCCACTAGGACTCCAAAATATATAAAAAGGTGTTTCTGCATCCCTCTTTCCCATTCTCTTCTACGATTTACTCTGTGTAGCACATTAATTAGATATTGAGCAGAAGCAAAATTAAGACTATTTTCATCCATCGGTAATGTAAACTCAATAAAGAAGAGTGCTATTGAGAAGTCATTGTGTAGAGCATAAAGCCAAATAAGATCTGGAGAGCGGAAGACTTGAGTAGTGCAGAAAGTGAACGAAGGATATGTTATGTGTCAGGAGATGGATCTGGGCCTCCTTCACTTCCGGAGGAAGTGAAGTGTTCATTTGTTCTGAGCCTTGCTGTGTACTAGGATTGTGGCAAGCTGAGCATGATGTGGCCTTGTGGAGGGATGGACAGAATTGAAGTAAAATTAGAGGTGGTGGTAAGACACCCAAGGTGGTGTTGAACACGCTTGTAAAGATTAAGGGGACAAAATGAGGTAAGGCTGGGAAGCAGGTACCATTGTTCTGGGTTCCAGATGCCCCATTATGAACAGAGAAGGTTATTCTGTGGGCGATGGAGATGCTCTGCAGTGTGGACCACACAACTGAGCACGAGGAGGACAGTGGAGAGCTCGGAAGGCCTGGCCCGTGTTGCATGGCAGCTCTGCCACTTTCTTGTCACAAACCATGTGGCTCTTTAAGCCTCGCTTTACCTATCTGTAAAGTAGGGAGAACTTGTATTGATACTGTAAGGCATAAAATTACCTACTTAAAGCTCTAATATAGAGCTTGGCATGTAGTGACTTCTCGATGAGTACTTTGATGATGATAATGACCATAGCCTCACTCCCGAGGCTGTTGACAATGGGATTGAACTGATGGGACGCGCAAAGCAGTGCAAAAGCTGTGCGAATCCTCCTTATGTCTGGGCTGTCCCAGAGGCTTAGTAATGCCGTCCACAAATCTCCTGTCTAATGATCAGCAGAAATAGTTTTGCATTCTTCTCAAGACATATTTGCCCTGTACCTCAGTTGGGCTCCCAAGAGCCCCTTAGATGAGGCCACATGTTAGAGTGTAGATTTAACTCTTGTCATCTCTTTTATTGAATTAAAAAACCTACAGATTCACATTAGCCATTCTGAATTCACAATGACAACTTACAGAACAAGTAGTTTTAGATGTAGAGGGACATTTTCCCAAGTCCAAGAATTAAGCAGCAATAAATCTTGAGTAAATTGGGACAATGTCCTTATGGATTCCACAGTAAGACACTTTCTGATGTCAAAACCGCTTATAGCATTTCTTAAGAGGGGGACTTGTTAGTTTGCTGGGAGGATCCTTCTGCCCTTACAGTACTGTACTAAGCACGGAGCATGTTCTGAGTCCTGGCTGTACCCATTAAAAGCTAGAATCCCAAGCTAGGTGTGGTGATGTACACCTGTTATGTCAGCACTCAGCAGGCTAGATCGTGAGTTTGAGGTCAGTATGGATTGCAGAGTGACACTCCCAGATAGATAGATGATAAGTGGGTAAGTAGGTAGGTAGGTAGGAAGATAGACAGACAGACAGGAAGGAAAGAAACTCTTGTGAGTCCTGTGATGACCACAGGTAAACCCTATACACACTGTACTACAAACCAAAGTAACATTTCCAAACATCCCTGGATGGTGGCAGGTAGCTTCACATGTTGAGCGCTATGGTGAAGATGCTCTCTGTTGCAGAAAAGGCTAGGAGTGTTCTCCCTGGCCATGGCCTATCAAACTTACCAAGTGACCTTGAATCAGAAAGTTACCCATTCTGATGACGGAGTATCCTTTCCTATAGAGCGGAAGAAAGAAATAAAAACTATTTTTACCATGGGAGAGAATCATAATGCTACCTATCTCAAAGTTTAAGCACTGATATTTTGGTGTCTCTTCTGCTGTGTGATGGCTCGGTAATAGCCCTTGTTTAATTCCCCGCTGTGCACACATTGCACGATGCACCAGCACTTTACACGTGCTATGGAAGAAAAGCTGCTGATTAAATGGTGACTGACGCATAGCTTGTATTGCGTTTAGAATATCTGTCTATATTTTAATTAAGTACTATAATTAATTAATTTTTGGTGCCAGGGCTTGAACTCTGGGGCCAGCATATATTAAGCACACACTCTTCCACTGAGCTGTGCCCCCTGCTGTATCTTTATATATATTTCAGATTTATTTGGAGGCATTGTTACCCTGGATTACTCTTGTACATGTATAAAAAATAAATAAGCTATTCCTAACACTTCAAGCTCCAAATCAACTTTTATGACTCCCCTTTGACCACACATGCGTTTTGACCAATGAGGATACTTTCCTGGCTACCAAGAGTCATTGAGATAGTGCAGCGTTAAGAATGAGCACAGGAAAAAAGCCGCAGGTGCTGGGCTCTGACAGCGGCCTTCTGAGGATATGAGAAGCCTCCTTGCAAGGATGGGGCCCGGAATGTTGGGAAACAGATTGGCCTCGGCTTCCTTCCTTCCCCACAACCGTGAGTCTCCCTGTGGCTAGAAGACTTTCTCTGCTGCCTTTGGGGCTTTCTTCTAAGCACTGACACACACTTTGCAATTCAGATGCTTTTGCTTTTGATGTTTGCATAGGCCCAGGCAAGGAGAACTCCAGTAGCCTGGCTTGGCTGACAGAGATCATAAAGCAGTTCTCGTTTGCAAACTGCATCCTCATTTCATAGATATTCAAAGGGTGGAAAAAGCTGTGTTTGGGGAAAGATGAAATATGGTAAAATGTGCATTGTTTTAAAGAAAAATCATGCACGGAGTATATTTGTATGTAAAATAATCATGTGAATTCTTTTACAAGTGAGAACTTGTGCCAAATTCCGTATGATTTGCTAGGGTCTACAGACCAATGCCTGATACTTATTAGAAATGTAGAATCTGAGTTCCCATCTCAGGTTACTGATGTAGAATCTGCACTTTAAGAAGACCTCCACTTAATTGTTATGCACATCTCAATTTCACAACTAGAGTTCGCTATATAACCTATAATCCTGGCCTGGCCTGCTCGAAGTGGATTTCCCTGGACTAACAGGCCCTCTGCCCAACTGTGTTGTTTGTCCTGCTGTGAAGGTCACAGCAGAAACCTTGCTGAAAAGCCCTCCTGTATTGGTTCCAAGAACTACAAGCCGTTATGACCTCTGTCCTCTCCACCCATCTCATCACACTTGATGGAAACCAACAGGAAACAGGGCTGTAGCGGAAATTCACTCCCAGCTAAATCCTCTCCTGTAAAAGTACAACAAAGCCCGCAGGAGGGCAGATTCTCAAGTAAGTGCCTGCCTGTATCCTTCCTCTGACCAGTCTCCACAAATCTGTTCCGCATACAACTCCTACCAACTGTCTCTTCCTGTTGTGGCTTTTAAAAATTCAGTAGTTGACTTGACGATTTAAAGTTGAAGTTTGGGAAAGTATTATAAGGAGCAGCAATGAAATGCTCAGAGCCTCCTTCCAGAAACACCGTTTGTCTCCACCTGATTTAGCACCTTGTGTTGGAATCTCACCATCTGCCCTGAAATCATCTGTCCCCACCTCAAGAGGAGATTTTAGCTTAGTGTCTGCTAATAACCCACTAAAAAATGTCTCCTTCAGGTGTTGCCGCAGGCTAAATAGGGTCACGTGACTCAGTGCCCCAAGAAGGAGGTTTTTGGGGGAAGGAGCTGACCTTCGGCTTCTGAGTTTCCTTGTGAGCTCCGCTGTGTGCTTGGGCCCCAAACACTGTCCTAAGCTGTTGGTCTCATGAAATCATCTCTGCCCTTACGGATTCGTACTTTCCTGGGAAGTCAAGCTTACCTTCTGCTGGCTCCATCAGAACTCGCTCGCCTCTGACAGTTGTCAGCGTTTTCATTTCTTAGTCTTTTCGTTCTGGCACTTCATTCCTGTGTCTTCAGGTGAACTGCCTCTTGTGTGCCCCGAAATTGCTCAGCAGAGAACACAGCAAACTGAGCCCTGTCCCAGGAGCGGGTAGTTGAACAGAGCCAATAGGCAATTCCGGTAGCAGTCATGAGAAAGTACAGGCAGAGGGTGATAAACCTAGGAGTTCTGAGAGATCACAAGAGCACCCAGTGTGTACTTAAGAATGGGAGGAGAATCGGAAAGTTTTTAAAAAGACGAGATTAACGTTTTCCTTCCTCCTGCAGGCTGTACTTTTTCAAAAGTGCAGACCCTCTGAGGATGTGCATTTCCAGTTAGCCTGTCTGGAGTCCCTGCCCATTCCTCCGCTCCAGGGAAGAGAGCCCTTCTCTGCAGTCATCTTCTGGGTGTGGCCGGGAACCTTCTCAGGGGAGGAGTGGAGGCAAGGTTGATGCAGGCCACAGGGCTTGGGAGGCCAGGGCAGAGAAAATGCTGAGTGAGCAGAGGGGAGGGAAATGGCTTTCACAGCTATCCTCAAAAATGCAATCAACAAATATACAGATTCGTTTCCTCAGGTTGCATAACAAACTAAGGCCGGCCAACTGATTGAAACAACAGAAAGGGATTTTCTCACCATCCTGGAGGTCTGAAGTCCAAAATCTTGCTCACTGTCCTAGCACCTGGGTGTTACTCTTAACACTCCAGTCTCTACGCTGCAGTCCCTGCTGTCCTTCCCCTGCATAGCCATGTCCCATGAGACCTCCTTTCTGTGTATCTGTGTGTCTCATCTCTTTCTACAAGGACACCAGACACGACACGCAGGGTGTCTCACTCCCGGATGACCTCATCTTAACTTGTATTTGTAAAGACCTTCTTTCCAAAGCAGATCATGTTCATCAGGGTGTGGGACTTCTTTTGGGGGGATATAATTCCTCAGCAATAAAGAGCGTCTGCTTAGACCCACCAAATTGGTAGTTCCAATAAGGGTTCAGAGATGAAGTCAGTATTCGGTGGATAATTCATGCTTTAAGAGAGGAAGGAGAAAATTTTACAGTGGACCTTTGACTCAAACTCAGTTCATTTGCTAGGGCTGGTTGTAACTCACGTTGACCAAATGAAGGCTCGGTTCCTCTACACAGCCTTCAAAATCTCTCTCCTGTGCACAAGCAGATCTCAGTGTCCTTAGAGAGACATCGACCCAGAATTTCTCAACCCCACACAGGAAAGGATGCTGTAATGTTCCTTCCAGAACTCTTTAAGGGTTCAATTTGTATCTGAGACCATCTGGAAGCACCAGTGGCCAGCATTTGGATTGTAACTCAAGACTTTGTAAGTTAAAACTAAAATTCTGATCATAACCCAAGTTCTTTGTATATCTGGCTGGTTGTAACCCAAAGGTCCACTGTATAAGAATTCAAAGAAGCCAATCCAGTGTTTGCCAGCCGTGGCTCATCACATCAGTCATTTTATGTTCTATATGTTCCACTTTTATCCTAAGAAAAATGAGAATAACCCCTGCCTTAGAGAGTTTCTTGGTCCAACACGGATATGACTATAGTTACTTGACTCACTACGTGGTACTCTGAAAGTACTCTGAGCACTGGGTACTGGTGGTTGCCATAGACACTAATATCTTGGACTTTTGTTTCCTCATTTGATAAAGGGTTGTACTAGATGCTTTCCAGTAGAGCAGACCACTTAGAGACAGGGAGGATGCTACAATGACCAGGAAGAGTGGTGCCCCATGACCTTCCTTTGTGTGCTTTGGAGCCAAAAGACAAACAGAAAGGAGACGGTACTGTTGAGAGAGTATCATGTATTCTAGAACACTCTTTCAGCTTCTCCCAGCTGATTTCACAGTTCATACTTGCCAGACAGTACTGGTTCTATTCCCAAGCATAACCCTAAGCAATGTAAAACCACCTGCTAATGTCAAAGCTGCATTATCTTTCTGATATCTCCTTCACCTATGCTCTGGGGGAATAATAGCATACTTTGGATTGTGCAATTAGAAAGAGTAGAACACCAATGGTTCAAGATTAAAAAGGTTTACCAGAAACTTTTTTGAAATGAAGTAATAAAATTATTTCATATTTTATGAGACGAAGGGTCCAGAATGGGAGAGGAAGCATGAGTAGTGCCGGGAGTATTGCAGTGCCATGGTTTGGGGAGCTTTCAAGTTACTAATTTTTCCCTGTGGATTGACAGCAATCCAGAGATGCTACAGAATTTTCCTGATTCCCCTTCATTGGGCAGGGATGTCAGCAGGAGAAGTACATTCTGCTTGCTCTAGGCCAGTGGTGGCGAACCTATGGCACGCATGCTGCAGCTGGCTGTTTGTTATTATTGAAAGCTCTAAAAGGTTCACCATCATGGCTCTAGTCAAACAGCTGTAAACAGAAAGTACTTCCAAGATGGTGACCTTAAAGAAGATAGAGCTGCAACACTGAAGGGCAAAGGCACAGGTTATGGGAGAGATGAAACTGGATGGCAAAGAAACCTTTGAAAGTTAGGGTCCTGGAGGAATAATCCCAAGATACCCTATATTCTAAGGCCTACACTTTTCTGTGCTCCCATAACATTGTCTTTAAACCTTATGGAGCCCTGAAGGTCTACATTCTAAGTTCTTTGCTCTCACCATGTGTGTCACCCATGCACCGAGTTTTCCCTGTCAGCCGTACTAGAAGTATTCCACCTGGTGCTCACCCTTCCTGCCGGCCTGTAAAGCTACTCAAACAAGAAATCCCATCCTCCCAAAGGCAGCCAGGGCACACCCCGTCCTGTTATGACCACAGAGTCCGGCAGGTTCCCTGTCCCCTGTCCCCTGCTAAAAGCAGTGTGTTGGTCCCTTTACGGAGCGTGATGTCCCCCTTCCCTGGGCTGCTGAATATTTGTGATTAATCAACTGCAGCTCATCTTGTCTGGCTTGGCCACACTCAGCACTCTACAACAGTACTCTTCCACTCTTCAATGGGTTAAGGAAGAGGTGAACAAAATACTCTTTCTTCTTGTTTAGAAGAAGAGAATGAGTTCCAGAGAGAGTGAAGAGTGACTCAGCCAAGATCTTTGCAGTAAGGATAGTGCTCATGTAACATTTTCAGCTAACACCCTTATTCAGTGCTAAGCAGGGAATTAAGCGTTTTCTGTGTATGCATTATTTAACTTAATCTTCACACTAACCCTTACAGCGTCCGTCATTATTATTAACATTATAATTGTGAGAAAATTAGGCACACTGACGTACCGTATGAAGGTTGCACAGCTGGTATATTGCTGGAATTCAACCCCAGTGGCTGGGGAATATTTAACAGTATTCTTTTTTTTTTTTTTTTTTGGTACCAGGGATCAAACTCAGGACCTTGTGCTTGTGAGGCAGGCAGTGGCACCACTGAGCTAAATCCCCGGCCATGTAACAATATTCTTGACACTGCTAAATTCTTTAAGGGGTTGTCATTGGGAAGCTCTGTTTTCCTCATTCTACACATTTTGACTTGGAAAGTTTCAGTATCTTTTTCCAGGTTAAAATGATAGTAAATTATGAGGTTTAATTTGAACTTCCCCGTGGTTTTTGTTTGTGTGGTTGATTGGTCAGTCGGTTTTTAGCGCTATGAAGATGAGTGCTTGTATAGAGTGAATGGAAAAAAGAAAGGGTCAAAAAAATGCCATTAGCAGGACTCAGACAAGTATCTAAAGATCCGACTTTTACTTGCTTTGTCTTTCCTCTTTAGGTTAAGGGCCCTATCAGCACATCTGCCTATGTATTGTAACAATATTTTATACAGTAATAACTATGATTCCGGGTACGCTGCTAAATGCTTTATGATAGCTATCATTCCCATTTTCTAGATATGGAAATGGCTACCATAAGCTCTTTACCAAATCCAGCAAAAATAATTTTAGGCTGTCAAGTGTAGTTGTTAAGGAAAACTCTGGTCTTAATCCAGAATGTGACATTTACCAGTAAGCGTAGACTTGAAAATGTATCTAACTTGTCTGAAATTCATTCTCTTAGAGATAGAGGCTATAAAAGTAACTACCTGGTAGAGTAGTTGAGGATTATATGAGGATTATATGAGAAGCTCTTTGCAACCATGTCAATATGTGCTTGATAAGCCATTATTGCCGACGTTCTGGAGGCAGGTGGAACCTTAAGGATCATCTAATCCAACTTCATTTTCGAGATCCGAGTAGGAAAGAAACTGGTTTGAGGTCATGCAGCAAAGAGGTGCTTGAATTAAGACTACATGAATTTGATCTTGGGTATGTTAAAAATTTTTATATTACTGCATATTTTTCTCCTTTTAAATTGTGTGTGTGTGTGTGTGTGCGCACGTGTGTGTGTAAAGAAATGAGAGGACTGATCTGTTGTCTTAGTTGCCTTCAAGTCACTTGTCAGAAATTATGGTTTTCTTATCTACAAGAAAGGCTAATTCTAGTCTTCAAGGAAGAATTATTAGAGACTAGGAACTAACAATATCAGGAGGAATTCATGAACTTA